ACACTTTTGGCGACCATCTATTTTTTTTGGTCGCAAATAGTCCACTTTCTGCAACAAAAATTTAACTTTTGGCGACCACAATTTTTTGGTCGCGGAAAATCACCTTTTGGCGACCAAAAAAAAAAGTTGGTCGCGGAAAGATTCTATTGGCGACCAAAGGCTTTTTTGGTCACGGAAGATCACCTTTTGGGGACCAAAAAAAAAGTTGGTCACGGAAAGTATACCCTTTGGCGACCAAAAAAAAAAGTTGGTCGCGGAAAGTATACTATTGGCGACCAAAGGCTTTTTTGGTCGCGGAAGATTACCTTTTGGCGACCAAAAAAAAAGTTGGTCGCGGAAAGTATACTATTGGCGACCAAAGGCTTTTTTGGTCGCGAAAGATCACCTTTTGGCGACCAAAAAAAAAAGTTGGTCGCGAAAAGTCTACTATTGGCGACCAGAGGCTTTTTTTGTCGTGGAAGATTACCCTTTGGCGACGAAAAAAAAAAGTTGGTCGCGGAAAGTTATGGCGGATAAATTTTTTAAAAAAAATGATACTACAGTAATTACATGCTATTTTTCTATTTAGGCATTAAAAGTTTTATAAAATAATATATAACCCAATTTTTATGGGTTATATATTTTTTTTGTCAAATATGAACAAGAAGTATGTTATTGGTAGAGTGGCAGAGTGGATTGGGTGCATGGTGACTCCTTGGTCAGGAGTTCAAGTCCCAGGGAGCACAAAAGAATTATTTTTTTTGGGTCAAGGCGCTGACTTTTGGCGACCAACTTATCTTTGGTCGCTAAAAGTTTACTTTTGGCTAATATGAATTGGACTTTTTGTGACCAAAAAAGTTGGTCGCGAATGGTCACTTTTAGCGACCAAAGGCTTTTTTGGTCGCAGAAAACTATCTGTGACGAGACTTTAGCGACCAACTCGCGACCAACATATTTTGGTCGCGAAAAGGTTTTAGTGACCAAATATGGTACTTTTCGCGACCAAACATGTTCGTCATGGAAAGTGTTTTTTCTAGTAGTGTGCGGTGATGGGGATTCGCCGGAACTAGAGAAGGGCGAAGAGGCAGCGGCGGTGAAATGGCACCGTCTACAACAATGGTAGCTAAGGTTAGGGTTTGAATATTGTGTATTCAACTAAGGTGTGTATTGATATTCTTTTGTGATCATTTTAATCATTTTAAGTAAGATCATTATTATAATAATAAATAATTAATTAATAATGTACTTTGAGACAAAATGTAGAGGGTAAATGGAGACACTCGTAAGGTTCTTGTGCGAAGACTTTAAAAGCCCTCCTAGTGGGGGACAATTTGTCTCCACATGTTTGTTAGTAATAAACGTGCCCGGCCAGTATTCCTCTTTTTTCTTCCCTCGCTACTATGATTCTATGTTGGCTGCTGAAGCTAATCCTTACCCAAAAAAAATAATTGAATAACAACAATAATATATAAATAAATATCTTTGTCATATATTTTTGTTTTTCTTGTCTTTAAGGGTTTTTTTTTTTTTTTTTTTTTTATAGTCACGAGTGGGGAGAGAAAATGAAGGAAAGAGAGTGTCAGATTGTATTTAAATCATGATTTGGATTGAGATTTAAAACGGAAAATGATTTTTTTTTTAATCAAATCTATAATCCAAATATACTCTAAGACTTCGTTTGGGAACAAGTTATTTTAGTAACTTTTTTATTTTTTTAGCTAATATATGAGATTAAAAAATTAGTATATTTGAAATGATTTTTTAATTTTTTACGAAAAGATATGTAAAAAATAGAGAAAAAATAAAATGATTAACTTTTTTTATAAATTATAAGTTTTTTTTTTTTATTTTTGTAATAACTTTTAACTTTTAAAGTAAAAATGTTACATGTCAAACGAGGATTGTTAGAATTTTGAATCAAAACTTTTTCCTCCTTACACCTATGTGTTTATGTCAAGTAAAATGTTTGCTGACTATAGAGTCAGTAAACGAAAGAGAAAAAAGAGAGAAAGAAGAGAATCAAGGAAGGATAGAGAGATAGAGAGGGAGGCTCTATGAAACGAGGAGTTGTACTTTTTATTTGTGTTTTTTATTTTGTATTCACTTAAACACATAATATATAAAATTGAACTTATTTTTGTCTCTTTTATTTTGTTAGTTAACTCACAAATTTAGTCATTAGTATTTGTTATCTTGCATTTGTTGGATAATTAGGGTTAGTTTGAAAAATTGGTTAAAAGTTGGTTTTTTTCACTTTTTTTGACTTTTTTTGAAAAAAAAATATGTAAAAAAATAAAGAGATTATGTGATTTAAAATGAGTTAAAGGCTAACATTTGACTTTTAATTATCTTTCTCAAAGAGACCATAATCCAACTTTCAACTTTGGAACTTATTCATGTCATAACTAACACATCACAAAAAAAAAAAAAAAAAATAGAATTATTTTATTTTGTGTTTAAAATTTTATATAAAAATATTTTTTTTTATCAAATTACTTTAACTCGGTGAGTTTTTTGAAAATATTATTTAATTGTTTTTTAAAAAATTAAAATCTATTTATACACAAAAAAATAAAATAAAAATGTTAGATGTTCTTAAACTTTCGATTAATTTTATTTCTCAAAAAAAAAATCCAAAAATGAAAAACATAGCTAGCAAACTCGTAAAAGTGTTGTCAGCTCAGTTGTCACGTGAGCTATGGCTCAAAGTGATTATTAACATGATTCATGATAAGTGTTTGTTTGTTTGTTTTTTTTTTTGGGGGGGGGATTTTAACTAGAAAAAAGGAGGTTCTGTGGAGGCATCAGGACCTCCGCAGGCCTAGGTCCCGGGGTAGCCGGTTGCCGGCCTGGTTTAACCCAACTCATAGAAAGGGACCTACCACCAAAGCACCAGTGGAGCTCATCAACCGCCCTAACCCTGATATTCATGATAAGTGTTTGAAGTTTCAATATGGTAATTACAAGATATTATAGTAATGCTACGTAAATAAATTTGTTTTATAAATTTAATTAACTAATGCACAAATTGATGTGGAAATGCATATTTCTCTAGTTTAATTTCTATAGGTTTTATTTTAAATATTAAATTTTACTATTGCATGTTTTATTAAAAAAGAGATTGTAAAAACAATTTATTTGTATAGAATTTTAATTTCAGTTATATATAAGAAGTCAAAAAAAAAAGTCTAACGAAGAAAACATCTGGATGCAGAAAATTTCTAAAACACTTGTAGAGTAACGCTCCATACATTTTATTATTTATAATATTATAATAATGATATTTTTGCATTAAATTTAGGATTTGTTTGGTTTGACAGATTATAGTATAGGATTGAAATTATTAGGTCATATGTTCCAATGTTTTGTTTTAATTTTTGTCATTCAAATTAAATTTTTGATATATATAATTAGAAATTATTTATCTCAATAATTCAATTGGATAACCAATTATATGCTAATCTTATGTATTATTAATCTCTTACTATTAATCATGTTAATTAAACAAAATCTTAGTGTACCATATGGTTTTAATAAATCTCATTACTTATATGTGTTTTTTTTTTAATATAATTGATGAGATTCAGAAAAGTGACCACTTATATGATAAATTAAATCATTGTAACATTGTTATTTATTAATTGAACAATAATATTAGAATAACTATTTTATTTTATCACATTTTATCTATCATTTTTTATGATGTACACATTAATTAAATATTTATAAAAAAAATAATATATAAATTTATTTTTTTAATTTAGTAATGTATAAAAAATAATTTATTAAAAATTATTACTAAATTTAAAAAGCAGACCAAAATTGGTGGGATCACATGTGATTTGGCATTTTGTGGCAGTTCGCAAAGTTGACGCGGACTCCTCAGTTGTCCTTGGGTATATTAACGTTGTGTGTCGTTTCTCACTAAAATAGTATAAAAATACCACTTATTATTTGAATTTAGCGATATGTCAAAAAAGATATATTCTTGACATATTATTAAGGTTAAACAATAAATTTAAAAAATAGATTTGTATATATTTTTTTATTATAATTAGCAAAACATTATTTTGAGTTTTATAAAAATTAATTATTTTCAAATAATAAATAAATAAACGTTTAATGTGTAACTGATTGAAATCCCTCGTTCAATTGGTCACTTAATTATTGATTATTTATTCTTAAATTAAGTTAACTGTCTCTAAAATTTGAAACCAAAAAAAAATACTAGTAATTTTATATTTTTAATATAATAACATTGTCTTCTTTTTAGAAATGCTACATAGACTGGAATTAATGTAGATATTTTGAAAACACAAGAATAATTAAATAAAAATATACTTCATTTTAGTATAAAATTTATATGGCAAATCAATTATTAATGAAAATAAATTTAAGTATTATGTAAATTAAAACTTTGAATCAATGTAATTTACTCATTTTTTTTAGTTATTTGGATTTTTTTCGATTAACGAGTAAACTTTTTAAACCTGTCATATGTCAACTTCGAAATCAAATACTTAAAAATGTTGGTTTTGTCGAAACAAGACGAGATAAATCTCGGGTATGTGTATTAATTCCAACACACACTATTTAGGTCAAGAAGTGTCGTTGTTAATATTGAACTTTACATTCAAATCTTATATACAGTTTGTCCAATACTTAAAGGGTCGTTTTAGAAATACTGTACCAAACCTACGAGAGTTAGCTCTAAAAAGTATAAAATCTGGGACCCCAGCACATTGTAAGATGTTTGTATTGTTGGACATAATTGTCTTAATATTCATATAAATATAAATATCCATCCATTAAAAAAAAAACATAAAAAAAGGGTGGGATATAAATATAAATATCCTTCCATTAAAAAAAACAAAAAAAAAGGGTGGGATTGATGGAAATATTTGTTGGTTTGACAAGAATTTCATGGATATTTTGGTAAATAGGGAGCAAAGCAACATGGGCACTTTAGTCTTTTTACTCTTCAACCACCTACAAAACTGCAATAATGATTATGCAAAATATCTCTCTCTCTCTCTCTCTTTCTCTCTCTCTCTGGGTGCAAGTGGAGAGGGAGAAGAAAGATGGACAGAGAAGATGAAAAGCCATCCCTAGCAACACCTCTGATTGATATCCTCCATGAAGATGATGGAAAAGGACTTGATTTTGATAGAGAAGAAAGGAACAAGAACAGTGACGAGAAGGGCATTAATAAGAGGAATAAGGAGATTGTGGAAGAAGTGAAGAAGCAACTATGGCTTGCAGGGCCTCTCATCTGTGTCAGTCTTTTACAGTTCTGTTTACAGCTTATTTCAGTGATGTTTGTGGGTCATCTTGGAGAGCTGGTCCTCTCTGGTGCTTCCATGGCCAGCTCCTTCGCATCTGTTACTGGTTTTAGCATGTTGGTGAGTAATTCATTGCGGGTTTCTCTCAATTTTGTTGTCCTCTCTCTCTATATATATATATATGTATATAACGGTATTATGATATGTATCAATATTGATGTTATATCAACCGATATCATATGCTGATATGAATACAAGTATCGAAAGTGTAAAATCTTGATATATTGTACATTTATGTAGCGGGGTTCTTTGTGCCTGATTCTTTTTGTTTTCTATTTTTATTTTTTAGAAAATACATAAAACTTTTTGACAATATGTTTCCTAGAATTTTCTTTTTTTTTTTTTTTTTTTCAAAACAATCCACCCTTTTAAAAAGTTTTTTTCAACAAAATGAAAACAATATAAAAAAAATAATGAATAGTTTTCCACCTTTCTATTATTTTTGTTTTTAAAAAATGAAATCGATACTAAAATAGTCCTTTTATATATTCTTACGTTCATTTTTGCCTGGATTTTTACATGCGTGTTTCATAGTTTGGGGGGTTTAGTTTGCACTGCGGATGGGACAGGTTGTGTTGAGTTTTTTTATTGGGGCAATTACAGTACAAAGCTTGGGCCAATTATTTATAATTAAGTAGGGAGTGAAAGAAAGAAAATAAATAAATAAATAAAATTGCCAACAGGTGAAATTCACTTTTGCAATTACTAAAATGCCCTTGTTCAAGGTTTTGTAATTTTTTTTCTTCTAAATTTAATTACCCAAATACCATTTTTTTAGTACTTCTCCCCTTTTTTTTATTCTACCTTGCTAGTGAGACAGGTTTTTCAAAATTATATTTATTGTTTTATGAATACTAGTTTCTGAGTTTGGTAGGTTTAAAAAATGGCTTATTCTAGTCTGTTGATGTTGATAAGGTAACTACTATTAATTAGGGGTTGTTTGGAATGATATATATAAGTACCCTTTTTTATTTTTTGAGTAAAAAAGTAAAGAAAAAAAATATCTATGTTTGAGATAATTTTTTGACTTTTTACGAAAAAACATGTAATAAAATATTGTATCAAATATCCAAATTACTCTTGTACCCTTCCTGACACATACTGTGTGCATTCAGTGCGTTGCTCAATTTTGTTGACTTTGGGAATTCGTGGCTTACAATTTGGTAAAATGTGTAAAGATAGGTACATTGCCATGCACTTTTGGCTGTTGAATTCAAAAGGGCAAATTTGTAATTTTGCCCTCTATTTATTAATAATTTTTTTTCCGCCCAAACATGGGAATATTGTTAATTTTTTTACTTTTTCAGTGACTTTTTTACTTTTTAACTTTTGTAGAAAATGTCAAACATCCACTTAATTTTAGGTACTCTATAGCTTCGCGGTGAATCAAATTTCTTAGTTCTGAGTGATGAAATTAAAGTATTTGCTTCATCACCACCTTAATTATACGCTCAAACATTTGATCTTATCACCATTGGTTTGGAAAATAGGTTTCTAACCATAGTTTCAGCTTGATACTGAATTGTACTTTCAGAAATTACGTCTTAAATTTGTAAAAATTAAAATTTATTTTTTTGTGATTAATGTCTTCTCAATAACCAAAAAGAGCACATACGACGGACGTTATTATGAAATTTTCACACTCGTCTGTTTCACGGTTTGTTTTTGAGTTAGCTGGGAATGGCAAGCGCATTGGATACCTTATGTGGGCAGTCCTATGGAGCAAAGCAATACCATATGCTTGGGATACAGATGCAAAGAGCCATGCTTGTTCTTTCACTTGTAAGCATACCTCTTGCAGTGATTTGGGCAAACACCGGTCCTATTCTTGTCTTTCTTGGCCAAGATCCTGACATATCCGAACAAGCTCAACTATACGCATGTTACATGATCCCTAGCATTTTTGCCTATGGCCTTCTTCAATGCCTTGTTAAGCTCTTACAAACCCAAAACATCGTCTTCCCAATGATGATAAGCTCTGGAATCACGACTTTAATCCACCTCCTCGTGTGTTGGCTTCTGGTGTTCAAGTCTGGCCTAGGTATCAGAGGGGCTGCCTTGGCGAATTCCATTTCTTATTGGATAAATGTGGCCTTGCTGGTGCTTTTTGTGAAGTTCTCTCCTTCATGTGCAAAGAGTTGGACTGGGTTTTCCAAAGAGGCTTTGCACAATATCCCCACTTTTATCAAACTTGCAATCCCTTCAGCTGTCATGGTCTGGTAAGTTTTGTGCATATCAGGTTTCTATTAAGCTCTACTCTCCCATTGTTTGTTTATGGATTTTATGTAATGAAAATTCATGATTGAGACCTTCTTGAACAGCATGGAAGCGTGGTCATTTGAAATGATGGTTCTGCTATCTGGTCTTCTTCCTAATCCTCAGTTAGAAACCTCGGTGCTTTCAATCTGGTTAGGATTGCATAATTTTCTTCTTGGAACTTTAGTGGGTTTCTTGAATTAAATCTTAAAAATTATCATCCATTACTAATATAAGTTTAATCCACAGCCTCAATACAGCTTCAACAGTTTGGATGATCCCATATGGACTCAGTAATGCAGTGAGGTCTGTTATACTTGTTTGAATTTAGTGGCTTCCCTTATTCATACTAAGGTTTCAAATTTTGGGCGATTTCTCAAATTTTTCGGTATTGCTTGTCACTATAGATTCATACTCTGTGTTTTCCTCAAACAGCACAAGGGTCTCAAATGAACTCGGGGCAGGGCACCCACAAACTGCACGTTTGGCAGTGTGTGTCGTCATGGTCATGGCCATTACTGAGAGCGTTTTGGTAGGAGCAATCCTGATATTGATACGTAACATCTGGGGCTACGCTTATAGCAATGAAATACAAGTGGTCAGATATGTAGCAACCATGATGCCCATCCTTGCAATATCCAATTTCTTGGATGGATTCCAATGTGTTCTTTCAGGTCTTCTCCTTCCCATTTTATCTATATCACTTTTTAAGCTCACAGACAAAAAGATAACTATCCAATAGTTACAAGTTTATATCTGTCGTAAAAATTTGTGTGCACAACAATATCGCTTACAACAGAAACTAGGGTTGAGCCTTGAAAATTATTAGTCGGTTTTTTTGAGATAAAAGTCTCTGTCGATTGTGCTAACCAAATTGGTTTGTGTTTGTTAACATTTAGGGGCTGTTAGAGGATGTGGTTGGCAAAAGGTTGGTGCATTTGTGAATCTGGGGTCATATTATCTTGTGGGCATTCCTTCTGCTTTGTTATTAGCTTTTGTCATACACGTTGGAGGAAGGGTATGTTCTTCATCTTTCCTTGCTTTCGATCTATCTCTTTCTTTCTTGTCTTTACTTTTTCTCTGCTTTTTATTCGGATGTAGGGCCTCTGGTTGGGGATTATATGTGCTCTCATTGTGCAAGTTTTATCGCTTCTTATCATTACATTGCGCACTAACTGGGAGCAAGAAGTACTCTCTCTCTCTCTCTCTCTCTCTCCATTTTTTGTGGATTACATTGTCATCTCTCTTTCTTATTCTATGAGTGTACTCTTCTTTCTTGTTTTAGGCGAAGAAGGCAACAGAACGAGTGTATGACTCTATAATTCCTGTGGATATAGTGTCATGAAGCTGAAATGCTACAACAACAATAACAGAGCAGAGAAACTTCATTCCCTTTAACAATAAAAGTCATGATATACATTTTTACTGGTACAAGTGGGAACCCCAAAGATTGAAGGCTCTATTGAAGCAACCCAACCAATGAAGCTAATTCTCCAAGCGTCTACGTATTAAGAAGCCTCCTACTTGTTAAAGAGAGGGAAATTTTACCCAGTTAATTCAGTGACATCTCCTGTATAGAAGTGTTTACAGATTTATAACATTTATTTACGTATGAAAGAAGTATTTTCAAACTTCTGTGCTCGAAAGACTGTTTGAAGCAACAAAATTTGATGTGCAAGGATACATGAAAGCAAATTCTATTAAGATCATTGTAGTGAATCTCGCAGTGAAAATCAAGACTCTTTTTGTATCCTTGTATCAAGACTTGTGCAAGAAAAAAAATCAAGAAACTACGTACTCCCATATAAGAATGGAAGGTACCAAACCATCGTCAAATTGTTCTTGTAATTACGCATTCAATACTAAAAGCAGATTTGTTCCATTTCTCTATCCTACATAGGAAAAAAAAACTATCTGTTCCAGCACACCCCCTTCTTCACATTAAAGCTTTTTTACCAAGGATTTTCAATGGATGCTACAAAACAACAAACAAAAAATCTTATACACGGTTCAAACTGTTTCTTGAAATTATGTTGTGAAATCCAAAATTCTAAGCTTTTTTTTCAAATTTATATTTACAAAAATTTGAAAACTGTAAACAAACAAACACTCATTTAATGTTTATTTTTGTTTTTCAAAAACTTATGAATAATTTACAAAAAATTCCTCAATTATTATAACCACAAAAAGTTGGTTTCCCTCGTTTTGAAGAAGAAAAAACAAAAAAAAAACCTTTATTCCTTCCTCCTACCCCCTTCACCCACCATCCACCACTCATCATCACTGTTGGCCACCACCTCTCACAGGCCACCACATACAGCTATTGTCATCAGTGACTGTCTCCGGCAATCACCTCTCATTGCCGGCAACCACCTCCCATAGGTGACAACCACATTTTGACAAGTCGGCTACCACTTTCGGCCGTCGCTAACTGCCTACAAGCACTACATATTGCAAACAGCAACCACCTTTAGCCATCATTTCTGACTATCAACAATCACCTTCGACCATCACCTCCCATCGACCACCACCTCTCACTTGTTTTCAAAATAAGTTTTTTAAATACACAAATGTACAAATATGTTTTTTATTTTCATTTTTTACTAAAAATAAACAGCAAGCCATAAACATTTCCCAAACAGCACCTACATCACCAAATCAAATCTCAGCTAACATTTTAAATTCATTTAAATTAAAAGATGTGTTTTGAAGCAACGTTGATCAAACAAATCTCAATAAATACAATTTTAGTCGTATGAAATTTGAAGCAATCGAACCAAACTCTAAATTTGTTGACTATCCTGGTCGATTTCGTGTCTATAAACTTATGAGTGATTTATAAAAATATGAAGGTCTCATATCAAGAGTTCGTTTAAGACCCTTTAAAACTCAAAGGCAGGCCTAATTACGCGTAAGTGAGTCTGAGAATTCAGTTTCTAGGGTGGCTTCACATCATTTTCCTAATTGAATTGTTATTTGAAATGTCATTTTTGCATACTCAAATCTCACTCCGTACTCTTTCCATAGTCTCAAAATAATAATAATAATAATAATAATTCTACTACTACTACTATTATTATTATTATAGATTACTGCTATTGGCAAGACGTGATTTTCATTTTTATCAATATGTTCAAAACATTTTTTTTTTTTGACAATAATTTTTTGGATATTTTAATTAGTAACTATACTTCTACATATATAGAACCAATAACAAAATTAATCCAATAAAATTAATCATAATTATACATATCACATAATGGAACTCAACTCATATTGATCTACTTATGTTTTATATGATTAATTATGTCATGATTATGTATCCATAGACTTATTGCTTTTGAGGGGACGTGTAATCTCTCTCTCAACGAGTATGGAAAGACAAAGAGAGAGAGAATTAGGAGGTTGGAGACCAGTTGTTCATAGACATGGAAGGCAAGGCTCAGAGGGCTGGAGGGTTCAGTCTGCTGTCCATACCATTTTTGTGGATGACATCCCTGACTCGATGGATCCAAGGAGGTTACATTCTCTATACTCTAGTTTTGGAGTTGTAAGGGATGTCTTCATCTCCTTGAAGAGAAGAAAAATATCTCGTACCAGGTTTGGCTTTGTTCGATATGATTGCTTAGTGGCAGCAACCATGGCGATTCAAAAAACAGATGGGATGTGGTGTGATGATAAAGCCCTAAAGGTCAAGATGGCCCAATTCGGGAAGGAGGAGGTCGTGAAACATAAGTCAGCACATCCAAATGATGGTAGAGAAGGGAGAGGTAAATCTATTGCCGTTCCAGGGTCACATAGAGGGAGTAGATCTTATGCGCAGGTCCTTCGAGAAGGTGGGTCCACGTCCAAACCAACCATAATTGTCAGGGCCCTGGAAGAAGGAAATGGATGGTTATATGAGAGTGTAGTAGTCAGGTTGAAGACCACTTGCTCTGTAGATGATTTTAAGAAGGAATTGTTGATCAGGGGTTTGGGGGAGGCTAAATTTACAATAGGTGGGGGTAGAGATGTTATACTATCCTTCAAATTAGTAACGATGATGCAACAGGAATTTAATATAATGGAAGGTTGGATTAAGGAGTGGAGTGACTCAGTCAAAGTTTGGAAACAAGGCATGCTCTTGGATCAAGAAAGAAGTGTGTGGCTAAGCTGTTATGGGGTGCCTCCTAATTTATGGAGCTTCAACACTTTCAATAGTATAGGGAGGCAGTGGGGCAGGTGATGGAGGTAGATGATGACACTTTGAGGTTAAAAAACCTTCAATGTGGTAAGGTAAGGATAGCTACATCCTGTATGGAATCTATAAACGCGTCCATTTTCTTAGATTGCAGAGGAGTTTTATACCCGGTCAAGATCTGTGAGGAGCAGATTGTTATATCTCAGGTAGTAGTGCAACAATGCAGCTGTCAATCGTTCCAACCGGAGAGAGCCAGTCAGAGTTCAAACAAGGGGGCTACTGATGGGGCTTCCGACTCAATTCGGGGCAACCTGCCGATGGTGCAGGGGGACGATGAGGCTGCTAAAGTTGGAGTGGGTGATCACAGGGTTGCTGTGGCAGTAGAGGAGCGTTCTGTTGTGGCAGCAGGGGAGTGCTCTGAGTCAGTGGATGATAGAAAGCTAAACAGTGGGCAGAGTGTTTCTGTGGTGGAAGAGACAGTAAGTATGCTGGAGGTGGCATGTGGAGCACGTAATGTCAGCCCTGAAGTCAATTTGATGGGCTCTATGCAAGGTGTGAGTGGAGGTCATGCAAAGGGCAATAATGTATTAAGCACGCCTGGTTTCATTAGAAGTATGAGTGGTTCTGTTGGTTATGGGGCGGGTCTAAACCTTGAGGTGGTGTTGGGCAAAGCCCAAGCCCAATATGGGGAGAATGAATTTAATCAGGCCCAAGGCCTTGGTGACTCTAGATGTGCAGAAAGTCCAATTAATGTTGAGAATTATTTTCAGCCTATATGTGGGGTTACGGCTCAACACCAATTACAAATTGAGTCAGGTGGTGGAGTGGGTTTGGGTAAGTCTGGGGAATGTTCAAAACTCCCATCCCAGGTTAACAAAACCTACAGGAAATATAAGAGTAAAGGTATGAAAAGGAGAGTCTGGAACAAGAAAGGGGGCCTTGAGCTTCATAACAGAATTGGTCCAGCAGCACAAGTCAAGAAATGAGCAATTCTTAGGTCTGCAGTGGCTGCGATTTCGCGGTCTATGGCAAGTGATTCCAGTCGTGGTAGATTGTTACTCAATGAGGCCGAAGCAACTCTACAGCTAGGGAGAGAACTCGGGCTCAATTGTGAAGGCAAAGAGGAGAAGGTTGTGAGCAAGCTCATGGAATTGGAGTCCATGGATATGGATAAGGTGAACAAAAAGGGAAAGGGAGTAGTCAGTTAATTGACTTCTTCTAGGAGACTTAGGAGTGCTTTTTGGTTAAATGAAGCTATTATCTTGGAATGTTAGGGGGTTAGGTAGAACTGGTAAATGTAGGAAAATCAAACAGGTACTCAAGAAGAGGAAGATAGATATGGCTCTTTTGCAAGAAACCAAAAAAGAGGTGGTTAATTCAGAGCTGGTGCAATCTCTTTGGGCTGGGAAAAAAATGGAGTTTGTGTCAGTTGATTCAATAGGGTCTGCTGGTGGGCTTCTCTGTATCTGGAATCCTGAAGTTTTTCAGCTCAAGAACTGCTATTGCAATCGCAATTTTTTTCTCCTGGCAGGTTCGGTTTTTTTTTCTTTTAATTGTGTAATTGTTAATGTTTATGGGCCAAATGATCCTGTAGCAAGGAAAAGGGTATGGGATATTCTTGTGAATCTTGAATCACAATTCTTGGATCCATGGTGCTTGGGGGGTGATTTTAATGAGATTAAAAGCATTTCTGAAAGAAAAGGGTGTTCTAGGAGGGATAAGAGGATGAGGGAGTTCAATGAAATGATAGAACAATTAGAGGTCTTTGACCCACCTATGTGTGGAAGGAAGTTTACTTGGTGTCAGTCACAAGAGGGTGATAGATGGAGCAGGCTTGACAGATTCTTATTAAATCCAGAATGGGTGCAGACATTCAATTTCAAGCTTTGGGGTTTACCTAGACTAATCTCTGTTTTGATGGAAGATGAGAGGGATTGGGGGCCTAGACCATTCAGGTTTATAAGTGCTTAGATTATGCACCCAAAATTCTTGTCATTTGTGGAACAAACATGGGCTGCTTTAAATGTGGTGGGTTGGGCTGGATTCAGATGCTTAGTCAAATTCAAAGGGTTAAAATCAGCTTTAAAGAGGTAGAATAATGAGGTGTTTGGAAATGTGGAGAACAAGCTTAAAGCTACAGAGAACGAAGTTCATGCACTTGAGTTAGTGGCTGAAGTAAGGGCTTTGTCGGCGGATGAAGTAGCTAGGAAAAGAGAATTGAAAGGTGATGCTTGGAAATTAAGTACAATGCTGGAGAGAATGTGGTTTCAAAAATCTAGACTTAAATGGGCATTATTGGGTGACAGAAATACCTCCTTTTTTCATGCTATGGCCAGGTGTAGAAGTAATAGAAATGCCTTATGCTCTATTTTGGTGGGTGGAAATACTGTAGAAGAGCCAATAGTGATTAAGGATGAGGTTTTCAAACACTTTACCAACATGTTCGAGGAGCCTTGGAGGGTTAGGCCAACCTTAGATAGCCCCTTTAGGTCAATTGGGGAAGGCCATGATTCTGGTTTTTTGGAAGCAGAATTTTCTGAGGAGGAAATATTTAGTGCTATTAAATCTTGTGGGGGTAACAAGGCCCCCGGGCCCGATGGTTTTAATATG